CCTTCCCTCTCCCAGCGCTGGCCCCTCGGGGCTTCTCCCTCCTCCTCGGCTGCTCCCCCCCCAGCTGCTGCTCCTCCTTCAGCTGCTCCCCTCCTCCCTCAGCTGCTCCCCCCCCTCAGCTGCTCGCCCTCCCTCAGCTGCTCCCTCGGTTGCTCCCCTCCCTCAGCTGCTCCCTCGGCTGCTCCTCCTCCCTCAGCTGCTCCCCTCTCTCCACTGCTCCCTCAGCTGCTCCCCATCCCTCAGCTGCTCCCCTTGCTGACCCTCTCCCTTCAGCTGCTCCCCTCTCTCACCTGCTCCCTTGGCTGCTCCCCCTCCCTCAGCTGCTCTCCCTCCCTCAGCTGTTCCCCCTCCCTCAGCTGCTCCCTCAGCTGCTCCCCCTCCCTCAGCTGCTCCCCGTCCCTCAGCTACCCCGTGGCTGCTCCCTGCCTGGCTCCCCTCCCTTGCTGGCCCAGTTATGCTCCTCAGAGGATTCCAAGAGAGGGGAAATGTGTCCACTGAGTCTCAGAACTGACCAGCATCAGTTCTGCTGCTCTTTAGGGGCAGAAGCAGGGCCCGGGTCCCGAGGCTTAGCGGATTCCGGGGCGGCAGAAGTTGATTATTCCAGTGGAAGCCACGGCCCCGCGGGGGCGGCTGCTCACGGAGGGGGTGCTGGGACCGTGTTTACAGAGCTGCGCCTCACTCTGCCCTGTTTCCCAGAGTCACGAACACATCAAAAGCCCCACCTTCACCCCCACGACCGGCCGCCACGAGCACGGGCTCTTCAACCTGTACCACGCCATGGACGGGGCCAGCCACCTGCACGTGCTGGTGGTCAAGGAGTACGAGATGGCCATCTACAAGAAGTACTGGCCCAACCACATCATGCTGGTGCTGCCCAGCATCTTCAACAGCGCGGGCGTCGGTAGGCCGGCCCGGGCCCGTCTGGGAGGGCACTCGGGCGCAGGAGGCACAGCTGGGCATTCCCGTCCAGCGTCTTGCTGAACTTGCCAAGCTACTGTGACTGGACCTTTCACAGATGAATATTCCTCACGTGGGGTTATTGACCGAACGGTTAGAAGATCGAGGATTAGAAAGACGGGGGTGTGTGCACCTGGGGGGGGCGAGTCTGTCCCCCGGGACCCCCAAACTGCTTGTGCGGCCCACAGGGAAGAAACTGGGGTGGGGAGTGAGGGGGGTGGACCCGGCTGCGCGGC